GGAGGGAGGGATAAACAGAGGGAGGGAGGGGGGAGGGAGGGAAGGAAGGAAGGAAGGAAGGAAGGAAGGAAGGGAAGAAAGAAAGTAAGGAAGGAAGGAAAGAAAGAATGAGCCAGGCAGTATCTAACAGGCAGCAAGTATCTAACTAAGACTTATTTCTACTCTATATTTTTACTGTTCATTTCTACYGTACATATTTTATAAAATAGTACAAATATAATCACTTATACCTGACAAATGCTAAATAGCACAATAGTCACTAATATTTACCTTCAGTACAGACACCATTTAGTGAGCACTGCAACTGACTACACTCCAGAACATCGCATTTATCTCCTGTCCAGTGTTGGTCACAATCACAGACACCCATTCGACATGTGCCATGCTTGTTGCAATCTATTGGGTAGCAGTCTGGTTCATGAAAACAGGCTATTGTCGAAACTTTTCTTGCACAAATGAATTCACCACTGTTGAGAAAACAAATCATTAAAAAAATTTCATTTGGGTACAGTTTAGAGCTAATCTACTCTCCTTTGCAAACAGCACTTTCTTTTGGGTTCCCTGTGTTAACAGATTTGATTTTTGGTTCCCTGTGCTAACATACTTTGCTTTCGGTTCCCTGTGTTAACAGACTTGTCTTTGGGTTACCTGTGTTAACAGACTTGATTTTGGGTTACCTGCGTCAACTGAATTGCTTTTAAAAAAAGAAACACTAATTTCTTTGCATCAGTGAGTGTGAAAGGAAATATTGAGGTTTGCCCTATTGTGAATATCTCCTAGGATCAAATTAGAATTTAGTAGTTGGTTTTCGCGGAGAGAGGAAAGTCCGGGAACTTGGAAAACCCTGGAAGCACAGCAGAGAACCAACAAACAACTCAACTCACGTACAACACCAAGCTCAACCGGACTCTAACCTGGGTCCATGCTTCCCTTTTGGGTTCCCTGTGTTAATAGACAGGACAAAAGAAAGGAAGAAGTGGGGAAGGAGAGCGTGAGAAAGAAGCCTTTTTCTTCTGGATTTCTTTCCAGTAAACCCTCTACTACTCTTCTGTTAACACAGTGAACCCAAAAGTGAACATTACTTGATTGTTAACACAGGGAACCCAAAAGTGAACATTACTTGACTGTTAACACAGGGAACCCAAAAGTGAATAATTCCTGCAGAAGGGTCTTAGTCCCCAAAGCTAGAAGTACAGGAGAAAAATCACTTAATGACCCATGATTTGTATGGTTTTATGAGTATAGATATGTGCAGATAGATTTAGAATGACATACCATCCATCACTTGGGTAGTTGACAGTTGTACCATTGACAACAAACGTTGCAGATCCTCCACCGTCCAGATTGATTGCATTTACAAGCCCAAGCTTCTTCAAATACTTGGCAAAATTATACAAGTTCATTCTGAGAAAACACAATTAAATAGAGCCATGTCAAAATACTGCTTATGGTATTGTTCATTTACTTTTCATACTTATAAGTCTTATAGGCGCGTTGACTGGTGCAAGGGTGCCACAAATAGGCTGAATAAGTTTGTTACTGTCTGCTTTCAATAATGTATACATAATTAATGCTATTTGCTGACCCACACTGTAATTCAGCCCAGCTGCAAAGTGTTGGAATAAATTATTATTATTATTATTATATTTTATTATTAAATTGATTAATGTTTGTCAAATGTATATGAACTCCATGACTTTTTCCATATTTCTGTAATTCAGCCAGGCTGCAAAGTGTTGGAATAAATTATTATTATTATCATTATTATTTTATTATTAAATTCATTAATGTTTGTCAAATGTATATGAATTCCATGACTTTTTTCAGGCCTTGAATTAAACTTCAATTTAAGGTGGCTTCATATAGTTTCGGGCTTTAGAGTAATAGAACTATATGGAGACACCTTAAAATCACTGTGTGAACGACAGGGGAGAAAAACGGTTTTTGACCTTTCGCAACAAGGAGAGCTTTACATATTTAAGCTCAATATTATTGTAAACACGTTCTTTTGGAGCCAAATAGCAAAATATCAAATTGAACCAAAATTTATTGGATGCGTATTTGAGATATAAAGCTGTGTACTTTGGGAGAGGTGATATTTTAATCAGCAGAAAAACTGACATTTTTGGGAATTTTCTCTAGTACATATACTCTAATAATTCGACAAAATTTCATCACAAGTTTCGTGCAGCAGTGACACAAATTAAATGCCTAAAAAATTGGAGTATTAAGCTCGGGTAAATAAAATAATTGTGAAAGTAGCCGGCTTGTCGTTTTTCTGCCCTGTCTAGGTGAACCATAAATTAATAATACAGGGAGCAGAGAATGCTTGCAATCTATTATTAATTGCCAGATGCCTGAGCAGATGCTGCTTCACTTTCTAATTTGAGACAGCATTTGCGTTTAGGGCTTACTTCAATCAAGTTTCTAGTGGTCTGAGTAGGTATTTTTTGATTGACGAAAGCAAAACCTTAAGCAACTCATACTAACGTTTATTATTTAGCTGGTTGGATAATTATGGAAAAGGGTGTGTATATACACCTACTTGCAAGAACATTGACATACGATATTAGAACATTAGTGATTTGGTGAGAAAGGAATACATTAAAAGACAAAAGAAAAAGTTCAGCTTCAGTGATCTTCTTTTGTTTTTTAATATAATTCCTATTCCACTAAATCACTAATGTTCTATTTTCGTATGACAACGTTCTTGTAAGTCGGTGTATAATGTGTGAGAAAATGTTATCAAACCAAAGAATCAAAGTTTAGAGGAAATTCGCAATTATTTTTCTATTCCTACCATGGTTAATATAAAGACTTTATTATATAAATAAACTTTTTTCACCTACCCTTTGTCATGTGTCCTTTCATCAACTGCGTTTATTAGTTGATCAGATGAGAAATTTAAGATGTATGTTTATTTAATGAGCGAAAAAATGCTTTCACACCAAAAATTCAAATTTTATGGGAAAATAACTTTTATTATCTATTTCTACCATGGTTAATATAAGAACGTTTTTGTTAAAAGAAGCTTTTGTTATCCATTTTTCCACCTACCCTCTGTGATGTGTTCTTCCATCAACTTGAAGCAGTACAACATTCCCCTGAGCATCATGTCCAATAGCCGTCCTACCAGACATAACATTCACAAACATATCAACAGACCCAGTTTCTTCCAAGTCTTCACACTCGATCTTCTTACTTTCATTGATATACAACTCTCCTTTTCGAAGCAGCCAAACTACCCCTGTTACTAATTGCACAAATGGATTCTCTAAGTCCAATACCATCTCCTCTGACAAATACCCTGTAATTATAGTCCCATCTTTACGAATGCCAAAGTTGACATTTTGAATTCCTCCTGCATCGAGCACTTGTCTTCCATCGCTGAATATATTCCCTAAGCAATGCCCATTCTTAGTTCTAAAATAGCCAGCATTTGAGGCGACAACACAGTTTCTTTGTTTTGAAGTCTGACTAACTGTCGCTCTCCTACTTTGATTACAACCATCAGCACCTCCTGGTTCTACGATAGAAAACGTCCGAAGTGGATCTTCCACGACACCGTAATGACCATAAACCTGCTGTGTAACGTTCCCTAGGTTGTATTCGTAAAATAAATTGTGGACTTTGACAAAATTATTGCCAGATTTTATGGTATTTGAGGCCGGGAATTCCTCATGAGTACGATTTCCAAAGTACACTGGCTGACATTCACGGACGAATCTTAGCGATCGCTTACTTCTGTGGTGTCCAGAATATGGTGTAAGAACATCATCTGGAAATATATTTCCTATATTTACATCCTGAGAGAGAATCACACGTAATAAGACGGAGAAAATCAGGTAAATTTGAGACGAAGTTCCATCCATAATGTACTGTTCATCCTGCTAGCTGCAAGTATTAGTCCAGACTTCTCTCGGTTTATTTGGTCGCACTAACCTGGAGCTAGTAATGCGTCGACAAAATTAGCACAAAAAATCATTTTAATTTATGGTAATAAATGAATCAAGAAATGAATCAAGAAATAAAGGTAACAGTTAACTAGGTTTCCATTTATTATTAATTGCACTTTCTTAATTTGTTTTAATAGTGTAAAAGATAAATTGAATAAATTTCCTTTTAAAATGTCGGACAAATTTGTCACACTCCCTCCCCCACCTGTGAAAATATTTGCCGCTTTAAATCAGGCATTTTAGTTGAAAAAATAAAAATAAAGCACATGTAATAAACACGCACAATATCTATTAGGATTCTTATGTACCATTCTTATGCTTTTCTTTTCTTTTGAATTGTTATTTAAATTATCTTTGAAACATCTCTAGGACTCCAACGAATTCTCTCTCCTCCCTCTCCTCCCCTAGGAAAATATCAGGTAACGCCTTGTCATTTCTGTCGTCTATCAAGATGAGATTGAGTTTCAGCAGGAAAAAACTAATAGTATAAAATGCAACTAAAAAAATTTATGAAGCCCTCTAAATGTTGCCCACAAAATTTGTAAATCAGCCTTCAGAATGTCTGAAGTGTCCGCTATGTAAAGATCTATTCACAGATCCAGTTATTTCTACTCAATGTGGGCACACTTTTTGCCGCCAATGCATCCAAGTTGGAGGATCGAGTTCATCTTTATCAATTGTAACAAAATGTCCATTTGATGGAATAGCGCTGAAATCTTCCAGTCTTGTGTCGAATCTAGCTGTCAAGGCACAGATTGAAGACCTGCTTATTTATTGCCGACATGGACTGACTCGGTCAGATTCAGAAGAGGATTTTGAGATTGATAGAGATGGTTGTCCTGAGACTATCACTATTGGGAAACGATTTGAACACGAAGATGAATGCGAATGGGGAATAGTGCCATGCCCTAACAGCTCCAACCAATGCGGAAAATTCAGAAGAAGAGAACTAGAAGATCATCTGAAAGTCTGTTCTTATTACAGATGTCAATTCAATGCTAAAGGTATATTAATGCAGTCCTTCTTCATAAATAAATAAATAAATAATAGAGTGCACGCACTATAAACCCGTGAATAATATTTAGTACTAATAAGTAGTAGTAATTCATACAGAATCCTTTGTTTTCTATTGTTTGATTATCACTATTTAGTACTAAAAATTAGTATTTGTTTCACAGGTTTAGAGTGAAGGCATTTAACCCGTGAAATAAAAATTATTAGTCAACATGTAATAGTCAAATAGACACAAACGAAAACAATGGAATTAAGGTCTACTCCCTTAAGTGTGTTAGTCTAATATCTGTTTCACGGGTTTAATGACTTCACTCTAGTGCGAGCACTATAACAGTAAAGTTAGACTTACTTTGAGATTTATTTTGCATATTAGTTTGCAATAGTAATGATAATAAAAATTATGAATTCTTTTGTTCATTTTGAGATAAAATGTCTGGTTAATTTTTGATAAAATGTCAAATATTGAGAAGCAGATTGATTTAATATAGTGACCACAGTAAATCCGTGAAACACTGATTACTAAATAGTACAAAATAGTGAGAATATGTGGACCGCGTAGTACTAAAATAGTGCTAATTAAACAATAGAAAACAAGAATATATAACTAGCTAAAAACTAGTGTGAGCTGCGTCGGTGTTTCTAATGAAACAGTAATGATGATGAAAAGGTAAATTATACACCGTGAAAAAGAGGAAAAAACTTACTGACGTTTCGGACGCTAGTCCTTCGTCGGAGTCTGAAGGACTAGCATCTGAAACGTCAGTAAGTTTTTTCATCTTTTTCACGGTGTATAATTTACCTTTTCATCATTACTGTTTCAATAGGAAACAATGGAATTTGCATGAAATTGTGCCATTTAGTATTACTAAAGTTTCACGGATTTACTGTGGTCACTTTAATTAAKTTAGCAGGGCCGTAGCCACCGGAACGGTTGGTCCGGTTTCAACCAGACCAACTTTTGGGAAAAAAATATTAGAAAAATATTTTTAAAATGTAAGAAAAACCGAAAACCCTCAAAAACGGTACCAATCAGAAATAAGCCTTTCATAGTTTTTAAGAATCGATTCCACTGCGCATGCGATTTTATCCCGAATTTCTCACCTTCTTTTGTCTCAACCTTCTTTTGTTCTTAATTAAACAAAAGAAGGTGAGAAATTCGGGATAAAATTGCATGTGCAGTGGAATCGATTCTTAAACTATGAAAAGGCTTATTTGTGCCTACGGCCCTTTAGCTACTTGTTCTAGCGTTTTCTTTGACTTTCCACTTGAATTATGCTAAGTCAAATATATGGTGTTGCAATTAGTAATAGTTTAGTATTGTAACTTGATTGATTGCTTTGACAGGATGCAAAATCACAGGAACAAAACAGCAAATTGATGAACATATGAAGACATGTAGTCACAGGAATGATTCTGACAATAAAACAAAAGCTGTTTCTAGTTTACAGAATGAGGTTAGAATAGAAATAAAGAGGGGGAAAAGTACCACATGTATGTAATCACTGATTTATTTAAATAAAATTTATTTATATGATTTCTTCACATATCTAATATATGAAGAAATCATATAAAGATGTGCACAAAAATGACGTTTTACAAAAATAGGAAGAAAATTAAGGTTTCATACTATGAAATTGAAACTTTAAAGCCTTTAAATTTTATGGAATCCTGAAAAAAAATGTCTGGGCTAATGTGCACGAAAATGAAGTTTTACAGAAATAAGAAGAAAATTAAGTTTTCATGCTATAAAATTGAAACTTTAAAGCCTTTGAATTTTATGGAATCCTAAAAAAAACATCTGGGCTAATTAAAGCCAGAGCACGGCAGCTAACTCACAGATTGAATTGGAATTTAGCATGCTAGGTCTTGTTTAGGGAGGAAAACTGGATAACCCAGAGAAAAGACCTAACAAACTCTACTCACATAATTATGATCCCAAGCCCAGGAGTCAAACTAGAGACCTTGACTTCAGAAGTGAGAGGAGACTGCACCGCTGGCTGATATATACAGCTATTTCAAAAAAGGTTGAATACTGAATATTGCATACTGAATAGTGCATTCCAAGATCAAAAGGCATTGTGGGTATGTTGTATGTTCCCCTATGTTCCCTTATTAATAGTGGATACAACATTATTTCATCAATTTGTAGAGTGGATTCAGTCTGCTGAATAGTGTACATCACCTAAATTAGATAAGTAAATTACTATTTTAGCTGATGTCACCTGAATTTGAAACTACAAGTAAACAGCTTTTGAGATCAGGGGGAGAAACGATCATACAAATGAATGTCTATTCACTCATTCTCTGGTAAAACAATCCCCCGGATTAGCATGACCATTATTTGGCACGCTTTTCTATTTTTAGGTGACGTCAACTAAATAGTTATCTAAAGTTAGATACATTTATCTAACTATTCAATGGTTTGACTGAATGCACTCTAGTCAGTTCCTATTTTATTGCTTAAATATTATGCAACCATGGCACTGTGATTGTTTTTTTAAAGGGTGAGCTTAAAACAACAATACAAAAACTCACTGATAGAGTGGCTTGGCTGGAAAAGAATCAAGATGCTCTGGTAACACAAGTAGAACACTGTAACAGGTAATTACAATGGGTTTCAACAATATTACAAATGATATCAAATTATGATTTTAAAAAGACCTCAAATTACTTAAAATTCTCTTCATGGGTTGCCTGTGGTGGGAACGAGAAAGAGACTTAGAGCTAACCTCAGTCTCCTTGCTCCTTTGCCACAGGGTACCCAGCAATAGAAAGAAGTGAATAAGTTTAACCTCCAGAGTAGCTAGAATAGACATAGTAGGATTACCGGCTCATTTACTAAGGCTTAGTCTCATATCAGTGTCTAAACATTCACAAATGCCAATGGTAAAGCACAACTTCGATGATACAAACACTTTGAAACTCTGTGGACCTTGACTGGAACACATGAATATTATTTTGGTAAAATTCTTTTTGCAACGATTGCCTTTGTCCTTTTTTATTCCATGAGGAAGCTCCTGAATAACTAAAACTTTTTTTCAAAAATTACTTCGTAGCAACGGAAGGGCAAGTTTTACATGGTCTGAATTGGAACACTATTATACAGTCAATGTCATTAACGTTGTCCACCAAAAAAGACACATTTACACATTTAGACTAAAAGATATATCACGTGTTTCATTATGTATTCTTTGCTTTGTGTGTGTCAGCCTGAACTTTAAATGTAAAATTCAACTCGTGAATCAAAAATCCAGAATGCCCCGACCATTTAGTGAGGATTTAAGATGGAGAATGGTATTTCAGCATTTGTTTTATGCCAGAATCTTCGAGGAAACTCGTGATATTTCTTTTAGTCTAAATGTCTTAATGTGTAAATGTCTAAATGTGTAAATGTCTTTTTTGGTGGACAACGGTAATGACATTGACTGTATCTAAAATCAAGACGTCCATCGAAAAAGTAAAAAACTGAAGTGTGTGTGCATGCTGTGTGGAGTTATAGTATGCATGCGTGGGGTTGGCAGAATACGCCCGAGAATTTTTAGAAAAAGCAAGATGCAAAGCAAAGTGTTTCTCAACACTTCTCAGGTGTTCTGCCTATCCTAAAGTGCTTTACTCTACATTAACAGCACAGCAAGCAAGCTTTCTATTTCTTTAATGAAATACAGATTGCAAAAACTGTCATTTTGTAAAGAAATGATGCAACTAAAAGTGTGAACGTGTGCTATGTGCTCTCATGAAGCACACGCTCCCAACAAATCAGGACGCTATTGTTTTATAATTTATGGTTTATAACTAAGTTCATATGCGAAAAAGTTTATTAATATTTAGTCTACGTTCTTATCTATCATCAGCACGATATCAAGACTAACAGATAATGTGGAGGAGCTGTCCTACCAGGTTGAGGTACTTGGATCGATGATGAAGAGAACGTCATTCTATCGTGATCTATCTGTATCATCCATACCAGATACCGTTAATAATATCAGTCCTGATGAGAGTGTACCACATTCACCACGGAGAATGAATCAAAGAATTCGACCAGCGGTTGTACCAGTTCAACAGGAGATTTGGCTTATACCCTGTATTTTTAAATGTATTGGAACACTGAGGTAGATTGATATACGTGTATGAAATCTAGCATGTGACGGACGGAGAGATGGACGGACTGACGGATGGACGGATGGAAGGATAAATGGATGGATGGATGGATGGATAAATGAATGGAAGAACTGAATGACGGATGGATGGACGAATGGACGGACGGAAGGATGGAAGAATGGATAGATAAATAAATTTGAATAATTGAATGACGGACGAATGGATAGATGGACGAACAGATGGATGGATGGATAAATGAATGGAAGAACTGAATGACGGATGGATGGACGAATGGACGGACGGAAGGACGGAAGGATGGAAGAATGGATAGATAAATAAATGGAATAATTGAATGACGGACGAATGGATAGATGGACGAACAGATGGATGGATGTATAAATGAATGGAAGAACTGAATGACGGATGGATGGACGAATGGACGGACGGAAGGATGGAAGAATGGATAGATAAATAAATGGAATAATTGAATGACGGACGAATGGATAGATGGACGAACAGATGGATGGATGGATAAATGAATGGGAGAACTGAATGACGGATGGATGGACGAATGGACGGACGGAAGGATGGAAGAATGGATAGATAAATAAATGGAATAATTGAATGACGGACGAGTGGATGGATGGACGGACAGACAGATGAATAGATGTATAAATGAATGGAAGAACTGAATGACGGATGGATGGACGGATGGATGGACAGACGAACTGACCAACTAAGTTATGATCGGACTAACGGACGGACGGACATATGGATAGATGGACAGATAAACTGACTGACTAACTGATACTGGCGATCAGATGGACGGAAGGACAGATGGAGAAATTAATAAATGGATAGACGAACTGACTGACCAACTGTTGATCGTACAAACAGATGAACGAACGGACAGAAGGATGGACTAACGGATAGACGAACGGATGGATGGAACGAGAGAACGAAACAAACAAATTAACAAACAAATGATTGTCTGTCAGGTTGTATGCTAACATACACTATTTGTTATTTAATGTTCAGAGGCCATCGTGACGTGATATGGAGCATGGTATCCAAGGGACATCGTTTGTTTAGCGCCGGAGGAGACAGAGTCATCAAGGTATTTTGTCTTCTTTTATCCATTCAAACCCACTGCAGCACAGAAAAATTATAATGAATTTGTAACCAACTTTTCTTTATTTCTCCAAATAGTAATCAGTAATTACCAGCTTCAGGCTTTGCAGCTTGATTGTATGGGCTCTTTTCCCTAAGCAACAGGTTTTTCAACAACTCTGAGCTCCAATCTCGTTTTTTCTCGCTCTGTCCCTAAATACGCCACTTCCCATTCCCATGAGACCCACGCTCCCACGCACCACTCGCATTCCATGCATGTCACAAATTTACAGAYAATATTGTATTTCTTTATTCTAGGTTTGGAACATGGAAAATGTTCGGCTAGCTCGCTGTACTGCAAGCATGGAAGGTCATACAAATGATGTAAGTAGTTTTAGTGAACTATGTTTTGAAAACATATGAACATCATCAATCTCAAACAGTTATAAAAGCTAGCTTAACAACAGACCTCTTTACCTTGGGAATAATGGGGATGATATTCCACGTGTCATTCCCTCGAGAATAATATTCTTTGTATAAGTTGTATCCATATTCATACATACATGTGTCTTATTGTGTATACAGTCCTTTGACTAAACGTTGTCGTTGATCGGATCATCCCTACGCGCCTAGACCGAAAAGGATAACGGGTAAATTACCCAGAACTTGCGTCATCCAAACTACTCGCCAGCGTTAAATCTTCGCCGTATGCTCGAGGCATGGTTTTAGCAAATTGAATGGGATCGAAAACAGCGAGCTCAAGACGTGTTAGATAACATATGCGGCAGCTAGTAACTGTGAATTAATTATCCCCATGATCCTTTTCTGTCTAGGCGCGTAGGGATGAAGCCGATCAAACGACAACGTTTAGTTAAAGGACTGTATGCTTTAGTTTGTTTAATAGTGATACTGAATTTTAGATCCATACTGTTTGTGCTGGTGGTGGAAGGCTTTACAGTGCTGGATCTGATCAAATGCTGATAGCCTGGGATTTGGACACTCTTACACAACACGTCAAAGTCGAGGTAAGGAGAGTAATTTATTGAATTTTATTGCAATTAAAGTGATATAGACACGTGGTTGGCGTAATTAGTTGACCATCGGAATATTGGGCGGGAGGTCGTGGGTTCTAATCCCGGCCGGACCAACACTCAGGGTCTTAAAACAACTGAGGAGAAAGTGCTTGCTTTGTAATTCCATCTACGAATGTTTAGACTTAATTCAAGTGGCTCGGATGACCACTTTAAATGGCGGTCCCTTCTCTCCCCACTATCCCATCCTGTAACGGAATGTCGTGAAAGAACCACTGAGGACGCCAAAGAAACCCTGGTAGTGACCACCCTTAGTGTCTGCACGTCTCATTAACCACCTCTAGTTATGATATGAGTTGCAAAAATTCACAACTCAATGTAAAGTGTTTTTGATTATATAGATCTACATATAAATAGGAAGGGTGCTATACTGCGTATGCATTGATTTTTTGATTTTCCTATTCTTCGATTGCACGTTACGTCATCGCGGCCTCCCTTGGGAGCGTTTGTGCTATTTAACACAAATATTTCTCACGAGTATCCATTGTTAGCGGCACCAAAATAGCCACTTTGTTTTTTTTTCTTTTGACTCTCTTGGAAATGTTTGCAACCAATCAATTTGTTGTAGGCACCAATTAAGAAAACTATACATGAATTAACATAACGAATAGTTAATTTGTTATTTCACAGAATGCTCATGATGATATCATATGTGCAGCAGTTTATAGTGGTAAATATCTCTTCACGTCGTCTCACTCCTGTATCAAGGTATGTTTCATCAAAATTATTTACTTTTACAAGCATCGGCATCTCTAGTGCTGCGCTTGAAATTATTTCATTTCCCCATGGCATTTTTAGTACATCAATTTCACCACACATGGTAATAATTTTATAGGTATGGGATCCATCCACATTGGAACTCGTTCATACAATCGATGGATTGAACCACTGGGTTAGAGCTCTAGCTTTAGATGACAAAAGGGTAAGTACATAACCATCCCTCATGCACTCCACCTCAATTTCGATTTTGCCATTTAATCCTAGTACAACGCAACTGCTACTGCAAGCGCAAATGCAACTGCAAGCGCAAATGCAAATACAACTGCAAGCGCAAATGCAACTGCAAGCGCAAATGCAAATGCAACTGCAAGCGCAAATGCAAMTGCAAGCGCAAATGCAAATGCAACTGCAAGCGCAAATGCAAATGCAAGCGCAAATGCAAATGCAAGCGCAAATGCAACTGCAGGTGCAAATGCAACTGCAAGCGCAAATGCAACTGCAAGCGCAAATGCAACTGCAAGCGCAAATGCAACTGCAAGCGCAAATGCAACTGCAAGCGCAAANAAGCGCAAATGCAACTGCAAGCGCAAATGCAACTGCAAGCGCAAATGCAACTGCAAGCGCAAATGCAACTGCAAGCGCAAATGCAACTGCAAGCGAAAATGCAAGTGCAGGCGCAAATGCAACTGCAGGCGCAGTACTTGTACTTTCGTTTGCATTTTAAACGCTTGTGAATTGAATGTTTGCACAAATGCTAATACAAGACCAAAAACTAGTTCCACGCTCATTTATTCTACCGCACATGCGTATCTTATTTTTAAGCTGTATAAAGCTGTTATCTAGATATTAAATTCGCTCCCATTTGTTTCCAGGAAAAACTCTTTAGCGGATCACACAACGTGGTTCATTTCTGGGACGCAACAGGAAAGTTTGACCTGCGCACTAAGATTGACCATACGTTTGGTTCTGTTTACTCTCTGGCCGTTACAAAACAGTACTTGATCGTAGGTAAGACCTTATTACTTTCGTAGTGTTGAATTAAGGGATTGCGTTACTTGGAAGCAAAAATAGTGCATATTTTTACACAAAATAACTTGTACCAGAATGCATTTATAAAAAGTGAGACGCACAAGAAATGTTTTTAAATCAGAATTTTCAAATTACAGGTGCCAGATTAGGGGGTGGGCAAAATAAAACAAGAACAAACGAGAACAACAATAACGATAACAACAACGACAACAACAACAACATCTACATGGTACAATGTCTGGATTCCTCATAACAATAAGTGTTCCCTAGCATTAGTGTCTAAGAAAGAAAGACCGAAATCGGTTGACACGAATGCACTGGTCTGAAGTGGAAAAAAATTTCATCAAAACTAAAAGTACTCGACACACGTATTGAACGAATGCCGTAACAACCCAGTAGCAGATCCAAGGTGTTTTCGGGGGGGGGGGGGGGGAGTTGTCTGTTCCCTATTTTATTTATAGTTCCATATATTACTTATATGCTTGATACAGAAGATTTGTTAACGTTTATAAAAGGTACTTATGAATGGGAATGCAAGACACTCATAAATCTGATCGCATTTCTTTTTCAGGGACATATAATCAAAATATCCATGTTTACGATATAAATACGCATCAGCATATCAAAGCTCTCACGGGACACTTCGGGACGGTAACGGGACTCGTGCTGTCTGTCTCGGGTCGACTTCTTTTCTCTGCTTCTTATGACACTACTGTACAGGTAAAAACACCATCCTCTCACGGTACACTTCGGGACAAATACGTCGCCGTGTCGGTGTATGCAGCCGTAAAGCACGCGGGAATTGGTAGAACATGAAAAAGTATCTAGAGACCTTTAGATCCGACGACGAGTAAGAGAACGAGTACGAGTACAAGTTTCTAACTTTTCAAGATTGGCACGGTCATTTCGTATTCGTGGTCGTGTACGTAGATTGAAACTTTAAATTGTAAAAAATCGGAAATCCACTATGATTCAGTGTTAATCACGTGCACAGGACCAGTTTTAAAACTCGTACTCGTCGGATTTAAAGGAGAAGTACGACGCGTAGAATGAACTCTCCTCAAAATTATCTTGGATGCGAGGCTAACATGAAAACACAAAAAAAAAAAAATCATGTGGCAATTCTTTTGTATCTCCATGTTAACCTTACATTCAAGATAATTTCAAGACCATTGTCGATAACGGGCGATAATTTATATTTTCTTGTTGACAAGGTTTGGAATCTGGAGTCAATGTTGCCAATGCAAACTCTGTCACGACACGAGGCTAGTGTTAACTGTGTTGTCATTCACAAGGACTTGCTTCTCTCAGGCTCCCAGGACACTGAGATTAAGGTATTCCCAGAATCTCAAATGGCACAAATTGTACTTTTACATTCGTTTTCAATAGAGCTTTTGAGTGTGATTTAACGTATGGAATAACGACTTCCGGGTCCAAAACCGAAAAGCATGGTTCTATAAAAAATGTTCTTAATATTTCTTCATGAATGAATTTATTTTCCAAAGTTCTAATTGTTTAAGGTGAAGTTTAAATCATTGGAAACATTTTTAGCTTTATTTTAGCGGCGTTGTGAGCAGTTGGACCCGGAAATGACTTAAAAGCACAATAGTGCTTGCAGAATCGTACAACTTGCCGTTGCCACAAAATTGGTTTTGGTGGACCTCAATAAAAATTTTTTATAACACATCTTCGGAAAATGCAAGGTTTTCAAATTTTTCACTTTGGAAGATCATGTAAACGCCTTGATTGACGTCCACCAAAACCTGCTTCTTCGCGATGACGATTCCGCGCATGGTTTTGAGAAATGCTGATAAAACATTACGTACCTTAATCGTGATATTCAATTTTCATTTTCGTTCTTTTCCAGGTTTTTAAGTATTTCAAGATGGAGTAAATCTCTTCGTCACCACGCCTTAATTTAAGCGCCTTTATTGCGCACAAGCGAAGGATCGATGGAGCAGCATGTGTGGTATGAGGGCGGTATGAGGGTAAAGAACAGAATATGGTATGATCGGATGGATAGTGCTATCCGACCGATAAATCTTATCCAGTGGATAAATGTTTTGGATAACAGCATCGAGTTTTCCACTGGATAATGATTTATCCGTCGGATAGCGCTATCCACCCCTCTTACTACCGGGCCATAATTAAATACTAGTTTCCTGAATATGACTAATGGTATTTCTACGATGGGCGTTTTCAAATATTGTATTATTTGAAATCTTAATACTAAATCATTTTAGCTTCCTCCTCGTACACATTTTTTAATTTAGTGAAATAACACTGGAGTTAGAACAATAAAAATCAAAAGATGAAAATTTAAGAAAATATTGTGAGGACTGAGGTAATGTTGGGACGCATGGCAAGGACGGTCTCGAGTAGACTCCTTTTCCTTGGGCTTAACGTCTTCCCATTTCAGACCACGTGTTATTTATTCTCTTATATATTATTTCTTTGGTTAACGGTCGTTTATGACAAGACACATCAATATGGATACGACGCAAACGAATCCTATTCCAAGGGGAATGACGTGTGGTGTGAAATGAGAAAACATTACTCCCAAAGCTAAAAGGGTCTCTCCCTAGCAAAGTAAAATGTCAGTAGTTAATTTCTATTTTCGTACGCTTTGCGATAGTGGCTTCTTTTGGCTTTTCAAAATCAATAAAAACAGCTCAAAACTACCAATAAAGACAACTGCGTCTGTTGGCTTTCGCACGTAGTTACTATGATCCCCTTCACGTTTACTATKATTTCACTTGTATTAAGACTTTGGCTTGAAACTCGTATTTCAGCAAGACCTGTATTTCGTTTCTTAATATATTTTTAGTAGTACTACTGCCATACATTCATGACAAACCACTCTTCTGCACAATATTTCGCTTTGGTTCAAATCTGCAAAGGTCTATACGGTTGACCAGTGAAAAATTCTTTTAAATTAGTGAAAAAGAATCGCAAAAAAGTCCAAATAGTAGAAAAACAAAAGAGTATTTGCGCTTGGTGAGAAGGTTTGTCAAAGGTAAAGTAAAATACAGGAAAACGATGAAAACGTGGTCACGTTTGCCGTTTGCGGGGAGAAAAAAAAAGTCAATCTAAAACTCTCTAGTATTTCAATACTCCCTCACTGTACTCTTACTCCTCTAGAGACCTGTTGTTACTCTTTACTTGGTTGCTTTAGCTCTGGCCTTTCATTAATGTGACCCGTGTTCGAGTCCCGCTGCTGTCGGTGTCGTATGTGAGTAGAGTTGTTTGTTGGTTCTCTCCTGTGCTTCGAGGGTTTTTCGGGTTCACCGGTTTTCCTCCCTCCGCAAAAATCAACATCGAAATCCGTGCGCGTTCAACTTGACGGGTCACGAAACTTTTCTACCTTTAATGTTCTTATACTTTTTATGCCTAAATTTACAACTGATAAAACAAAAATAACTATTTCCAAGCAGCACTTCCATTTTTCTTCCTTATTCCGCTATTCTTGTAGACTTGTAACCTAAACAACAAAACGTTACGTCACAAAAACAACATGCCAATCTTGTTGTTGCGGTTGTTTTTGTGCCGCTCTTGTTCTTCTACTGTTATCTCATTATCCTGGTGATCGATTGCCACTAGGTATTCGTTGTTAACAAAACCATAGCATTCGACTCTAAAAACTGTTACAGGACTAATTCCGTCTTTTTCGTCGCACCTGCTTTGTATAGGAAATCGCACGATCTCCAGTACGATTCGGAATTTATAGATACGAGTGATGTCTTGAAGGTTTTCAAAATTGGACGAGCCTTTAGGCGAGTTCAATTTGAGAACTTTCAAAACATCACCAGTATCTATAAATTCAGAATTGTACGAGAAGATCGTGCGATTTTTTGTTTATAATAAACTAAAAAAAAGAGTTTATCGGGACTTAATTGGGACTTTGCAGAGTATAATTTGGGATTTAATTGTACTTCTCTTGTCCAATCAGAATCGAGTAATTTTGTAGAATGTATAATAAATCGTGAAATAGTAATGCCTCGATGCTTTCAACCTTGTTCTTCACCAAGATACGCCACGGTCTCTTGTCTTCAATGACTACACCCAGGGTTTCCGAATGCAGATTTCTCATGGATTAACCCTCAGTTAAAAAAGTCGTATCTTCATCCTGCAGATCGACTTTGTCACCTTCGGTGTTTCCGCAGATTTGTTTGACAGTGTCAGGCATGGCTTTCTTGTTGGTTTCTGGCAGAGATGTGAATAGTATTCCACAGACAAACGCAGTGGCAGACATGATAGCGAAAGGCGTCATCGGGTGGAGTCGTTGCTGTTGATAAAAATCTTGACATTAGTTGCATTTGCGACCCGTTTGGTAGTTTTGCCATTTTTTAGAACAATATTTTCGCTCGGAACATAATTTTTTTATAACGTCTGTCCATGTTATTGCAATCCCTATGATAGACCGTTTTGTATTTGTGAAAATACCACTGTGGGATGAGCAGAGGTTCCCCGTGGAGCTCAAACCGTAGAAGGAACAGCAAGCCTTATTTAACGTCGGTATTCCTTCAGCTAGTAGCTGGTCTTTCAGGGAGCATACGGTGCGCGCTTTAACCCTTTCTCCATATCTGGTGGAGATCCCGAGGTTCGAACCGTACCTCTAGCTCCGCGGACTAACCAAATGAGCTATTGCTTCTCCTATAGACCCCTTGCATTGATTTC